GAGCCCCGGGAGGAGGAGCACGGCGAGAGCGGCTGTCTTCATGGCGGCCGTGGTCCGTGGCTCTGCACAGTCGGTTCGTGCGGCCTCGGCAGACGATCTCGCAATGCAGCCCGGGGTGGAGATCTCATATATACAGAGTGCGCGTGGGTTAGGAAATCCCTGTGAAACCACCGATTGTAGAAACCATCCCAGCCAACGGCCATTCCCTGCTCCCCATGCGCGCTGTCCGGTTGGGCCGCTAGGTCAGATTTGTTGTTCTGTGATTGGTCGACACTTGCTAACACAGGATAAAGCATTAGCTGACTAAGAGCAAACCCTCCTGTCGTGCACGAGAAGAGTGCGCGTGGGTTAGGAAATCCCTGTGAAACCACCGATTGTAGAAACCATCCCAGCCAACGGCCATTCCCTGCTCCCCATGCGCGCTGTCCGGTTGGGCCGCTAGGTCAGATTTGTTGTTCTGTGATTGGTCGACACTTGCTAACACAGGATAAAGCATTAGCTGACTAAGAGCAAACCCTCCTGTCGTGCACGAGAGTCGTCGTTCTCACGAGCACAGGGGTTTGCACGAGGAACGGCAGCCCCAACTGAAGCAATCCTGCATCACTGGGTGCTCGTGAGTAGGGCAAGAATGCGGCAGCCTCAGATACCTTGGGGACATCAACAAAGAGTAGCCAGGGATGGGTAAACTGCCCTTGACACGTGGGCACGTTCTGCGTCAGCCTGTGCCTCGCTTGTATTCAATCGGGTGCGTCCAGGGCTCTGTCGGTGGCTGAGAACCGCCTCCTTGCATCCCCGTCACGCTCCTCTTTGCTGCCCCGCACCAGAAAGCGCCATGTGGCGGGGTCCATGTGCCCTTTGCCTCTAGTCTGTCGGTACGACAGCGGGGCACTTAGCTCTCGGCCCGTGTGCAGTCAGTGTGTTAAAGGAGAGAGGGCCGGTCCAGCACTGGGACAGCAGATGGCTGGGCTGGGTCCAAAGGAGCGGGGCAGGCGGTGGCTGCGCACACGGGCAGGAGGGCAGCACGGACCCAGGCAGAGGGACCCCTCGGCTTTGTCTGTTCCTGTGGGCCGTGGTACCCAGGGTGCCTGCAGGTCGTTCCGGCAGCCCCATTGCAGAAATGCTCCATGCAAGCAGGGGCGCCTCTAGGGGGCCTGCAGGACACGCCGTGCACGTGGGCTCACGGCCAGGGCGGGGCTCAGATCCAGAGGTGAAAGCTGGTGCCCCCCAGCGCGGCGCTCCGGCAAGAGGAATCCGGCGGGCTCGGGCGCTCCCAGCTGGGCTCCCAGAGCTCTGCCGAAGGATCCCTTGCTAAGAAGCAGGCAGCCAGGCAGATAGATGGGTGAAAGGGGCTGGCTGGGGGTGTGCTTCCCCCACCCCGG